TGAAAATTTGAATTTCAAGATAAAGTAACCTGAACGACTCGAAACATGTTTCTTATAGGTTTTCGACAATGCTCTTTCCAGTGGCATCGTTTTTAAATATTGAGAAAGTTTTCTGAAGGGTTTTCCAAAGACCGGATCTCTGGAAAACTCCTTAGAAAACTTTTCAAAACCCAACTCTCATGCTATTAGAAAGAGGATCATGAAAAACCTATAAAAAAATAGTTCATGAAATTTTAGTTCACTCATAAAGCTAAAGTCCGTCTGCTCTAGCAAAAAATGCCCACTGTGTATGGGGTGCTTCGAATCCAATTCAGATTAATCATGATGATTACTCTCTGGAAGACCGAGGACTCAACAGTCTTCAGATACTGACGTTTTTACTTCAGACTTATGTTTACAACGGTGACGAACGTTTTCTTAATGGTGCCGATCTTCTTATTTGGTCATTTCAATACGATGTCAATCTCATTCATGAAAAGATGATTGCTGTTTGCGATAGTGATTTTTCGAACGATGAACTGGCTTATTTGTCATATTTCAATCTAGTTCATGCGTTCAACACGGTTACTTCTTCAACTAATTTATCCGCACTAATTTATGCGCAAGAAACGGCGTTTCGGAGAAATAAAAAATATTAGTATAGACTAAAAATAGTGATTTATTTGAAACAGTGAATAATAATTATAACAAATAATTTATATAGTTCTCGGCCGAAGGTTAATCAGTCTGGTAAAAAAATGGAATCCCGGCAACTTGCCTCCTGGTAAGATGCCTCCCGCACACTTGCCCCCAGCGTTTTGTCTTCCGGACATTTGCCCCCCAAGGACACTTGCCTCCGTGGATACTTGCCCGCGCGGACACTTGCCTCCCCGGATACTTGCCTTCGCGGAAAGTGACTAAAGCGGACACTTTCCCCCACCACTTGTGCAGAGCACTTTTCTCTCAACTATTTTCAGGAATCATCAACTCAGCACACTCGGTGGTGAGAAGATTTCTATTTTTCTAATTGTATGTATTCTTCCTCTGCACTGCCCATGACGTTTTCGATCACAACACCATATTATTTTATCACCCGATGTTTTATCAACAATATAAGCATATCCAGCGTGAATAAAGATTGGCTTTCCTTTAGTGATTTCCATGTCTATATTCTTTACAGTGAAATGTGATGTGACTATTGATAAGTTGATAGACAGTATCAACGAAAATAAGAGAAATCGAATTATTATCAGAACATGTCTATAGATCTATCCTTTCTCTAGCAACATTTTTTTCTACTACATTCCGTTCTCTTATGTGTTATATAGTGAAAGATACAATTTTATTTCAAAGAGATAACTCTCGTTGAAGACATAAAAGAGAAAATTCTCTCATGTTTTGCATATTGAAATTATGACAGAAGTGCAGTTTTTGTGTTAATGTGTCATACATTTACGAGAGACAACATATTTCTTTCACATTATCTATAATTCTTACAAGAAACAGCATAATTCTTGTGTGAGAGTATTTTAAGGGATAAAACCCAGGTTTTGGTTTCCCAGAAATACCGTACAATACTATAACAAAAAATCTGGTTACAGCATCTTGTATATTGGTCACCAAACAAAAGAAGCATACAACCATTCTCGTACTTCGACTCAGTGGTATCGACAACAAAAACAGCACTTTCTAGCAGATGGTTATCTGAACAATAATTCATAATTAATCTTTGAATGATTGCGATAGCTTAGAATGCTTTGATACTGAGATTCTTCTTACTGGTTGTTTTGCTTTATTCAGATTTGAGGATGACGATGCATTCGTCGCCGTGCTTGTATCACTTTTACCACGAATTGTACCATTTGGTGACGTTAAATTTATTTCTGTTGCTGGCAAACCGAATGGTGGTTCGATTAATGGGAACGGAGGTGTGATCTCTCTCATGTGGATAATATGTAGGTCACGACCAGCATCTAATTCACTAACTACTTCAAAGTAAGAACCGGGAAGTAATAGAATTTCGTCTTCGGTTTTATAATAAGTATAAGGGTTAATTCTCTTACCATTAAAACATTCAATTGAGAACAATGTTCTTATTCCGGTTTTTCCAAGAAACGTTTCTGATTCTAACATGCTAACGGACGATGTGCATGAGGAAATTCCCCACCATACTATACGCATTCCACTTCTATAGCTCGAGTTAATATGCGTTTTAACACCTCGCCATACTGTAGCTCTGATCGATGGTAATTTGTAGAGAGCTGTAAGAAATAGCTTTAAATAACTAAAGTACGGTATTAATGTCTCACGCTCTACAGCACGTAGTGCTCGATTTAACTGAGAATATAGACTCTGATTAGATTCATCCCACTCCATGGTATACAGATGTATTGATGCTGCCTCATCAGATGTTAAACCATCGAGATTATTCTTAGTGTTTTGCTTTGCAATATAAACACATCGATTGAGATTTGGAACCAAATGGTGAAGCGGTTTAACAGAGGTTTCCAGTGGTAAGAGCGGAGAGTTTGCGTAATCGGAAATCGGAGACAACATTAGAGATGGTCTATCTTGAATATCAAGAAATCGTGACTGCTTTTTAATTGCCGACGTTGGTTCTTTGTTAAGGGCGTAATTTTCACCTCCGGATTGAAAGCTGGGAGAAACTAATGTAGTGAGACTATTCTGCGCCGAAGAAGGACCACTCACTGACGAGGACAGATTCTCTTCCACTACCAACTTTTTATGACGATTACGAAAATATACTGGTTCTATTAGCGCATCTAAACCAAATAAATAAATTTATTAATGTGTCTTGAAAGAGTAAGAGCAGTATAATTTGCAAAGTGAGTCTCTATCCGTTTGAGAGCCTGTAAACAGAACCATAATGGTGAATTTATTTGATGAATCCAGTCAATTTATGATAGTGACCTTCTTGCACAAGAATATTAGTATAGCCCACTTTCTAAAGACCGGACCAGTTTCGATAAAATCTGCTCTTTTTTAAGATTCTGAAGAATGATATTTCTTTCGCTTAATTAGAGAAAACTTCAGATTGACTGGAAGCAAGACTGACCTGTATGTTTTTAAACAGTGTTTTTGCCTAGCACTGTACATGCTGTTGGAGTGGCAGTACGTCAATCTATCCTTCTACAGGGCAGAAGTGGGAGAAAAAATTGACAAATGGCAATTACGCTTCTCGAACAAGGATTTTGCTAAAAAACTTGGATACGGTATTTCTGGGTAACCCAAAACCTGGGTTTTATCCGTTAAAACACTCTCACACGAGAATTATGCTGTTTCTTGTAAGAATTATAGATAATGTGAAAGAAATTATGTTGTCTCTCGTCAATGTACCATATAGTTCTTTAATTTCCCAGTTCAAGGTGCTTGAAATTAGCGAAGAGAAATTCAAGAACCCGGATTTTGGAATTTAAGTAGAATTTCTTTTTCGTTTTCCCGTAAGGCTGGATAAAGCTCATCAAACAGCATAGGAAAATACCATTTTTAGATTTTTCAAAAGAAGATAAAAATTTGACATTATTAGTTTAGGCGCTACTTATTGATTTTGATGATATTTTTAAAAATCAGCTGATTTCTCGGACGCATGATTATCTTTTATTTCAAAACTATCTTTTTCTGCTTATCTATACAAAAGTGAGTCTAATTCTATAAAGTTCAAATTTTCAAAACCTTTTCTGATGTCGGAGGGCATGGAACACGAGCAGCTAAAGAATAAGGCAATTTAGAAGCTGAGAAGGTGTAAGCGTGAACGTTTCTATAAATTAGCCGCAGAATGTTAGTCGTCGTAGCCTCAAAGCAACAACAAGGACCAACTTTTTAAACCAAAAATAGAAATAAACGACGTTTTCACCTAAACTAGTAATCTCAAGCTTTTATTCGAAAAATCATTTTGAAGTCTGAAAACGGTATTTCCCCATACTGTCTGATGAGCTTGACAGTCGAAAAGACGAAAAAGAAAGTCCACTAGAATTTGAAAACCTGGTACCTTATAATAATACAGTTCTCGATATTTCAAAAATCACTCTAACATACTTCTACAAAAGATTAACTCTTTGTTTTTAGTGATATGCACACTGAGGTGTGGCGCACGAATATCCATAGCTTTGTTAGCAGCCCGAAAATTCCACAGGAAGGCCTGAATTTCGGCCCACGAAGTTTTTGTCCCGGACTTTCGTCCCGATCCGAAATTCCGGTTGTTTTTCGGCTCGGGCGGAAAGCCTGAAAGGGATTTCGGATCGAACCTTAATTTACGTAATTAATTTATAAACAATTAGTAACTTCATGATGCTCGGCAGTATGACATGGTGCTCAGCAAGATGATATAGTGCTTAGCTGTGCAACATGATATTTAACAGTTTTCATTCAATTCTAATAGAAGTGAGGCAGAGCACGATGCTTACCAATATAATTTTATTCAAGCGATGTTTCTCCACCAATACCGCCACTTTTAGATTTTTTCGAACGTTTGATTCCATTTAGGAGCCAAGTACTAGGTCGTACTGCTGAGCACCACGTTTTATTGAAAGTGCATAATGGTGAGCATCATGAGGTTTACCAATTATTTATAAAATTAATTAGGTAAATTAAGGCTCCTTCCGAAATTCATTTTAGACTTTCGGAGCGGGCCAAAAGTTGCGGGTCAACAAATTCGTGGGTCGAAATTCATGTAACCCATTCCACACGCTTCTCCGTTTTCAAGCCTAAAATAAACTCTGGTAAGAAACTATTTCTTAAGATTAGACAAGATTCCATGTAATAGTAACTTTCTATTGGTTAGTATCACCTATTTATTCCAGCAATGGCAGATTTTATACATTTCAGACTATCTATAAAACCTATAAAATTCTACAATTTCCCTTTGAATTCTAGGACAGTTATTTCACAGCTAAAAGATCAAATGTCTGAGTTATTCTAATACAGAAAATCTAAGAATTCGATAGAATTCTACGTTACTACAGATATACGCTGCTTTAGCCACGTTTGCGACAATGTATAGAATTCTATACATTTGCGCTTAACATAGAACTCTACACATTTCCGCTTGTCTGTGACCTGGCTAATACAGGGTATATCTGTACTAATCTAGAATTCTGTAGAATTGGTAGAATATCTGAAATGCAGGAACTCTGACATCCCTCGTTTATACTAAAAATGGACTTTCTGAGCGTCCTTAAATTATAAAGCTCGCATACAAGTTAGTGCTTCGTAGAAAGACCTGTTCGATTGTCGTCTTAACTTATGCATACCTGGAAAGACAGTTGGCTCAATATGATATATCTTGACCTGTATATGATAGATTAGTTTGTCCATAGCCATATTAATTGGTTTATCAGATTTATCACGGAAGTCGAACCATTTTAATCCAGCTGAAATCAGTCCTAACCAACCACTTGGCTTCCAGTCAGCGTGCAATCTGCATGGTATTAGAGGTATATTTAGACTTTCAGCATATTGTAACTCTTTTCTACAGTTTGATGAGCTCTGGTACTCTTTCGACATGAAAAAACACACAGCTGCACTGTTCTCAACTCCTTCGGCCATTCTAAAAAAGAGCTATAACAAGTTACTCTATGGGCTAACACCCATATACGTACTCTTGATTTAAATTTGCGGCGATACCATCGTATATGTCCATCCACACAGGTATATTTTCTCTTCTCAGTTCTTGAAATATCTCTTTCACAAGATCTTGAGTATCGTGCTGATAGGATAACATGATGTGTTTCATTGTGCCGGACATCGCTGTATAACAGAAACTTAGTTGACTCTTTCGGAAAGAGTATTTAAATGCTTCCTTTTTTGTTGTTTCTTGTCTCTTTTAATGTAAGGTAAAATAATAAAATTAGTAACGTGCCGGCAATTTAAACTTCAAGTAAAAATATTTTTCTGGTTAATTCATACATTCAACCGTCTTCTTTTTCATCCGCCGGGTACCCCAAAGAATAACGATTTGTAGAAAAACTAGTTTTTTCTTTATTTTTCTTGTAGCTAGCCTGTAAGGCAGCTCAGTATCCTATTAGATACTTCTGGACAAGAAACTCCTTCAAGATTCTACCTGCGATTAAATAAGATGAATGAGCACTGCATTTTAAAATAAAATTAAAAGACAATAAGATAGATTGAACCATATTATTTCAAGATTCTTTTTAGAATGCTTGCGAATAAGTTTGATGATATGTCATGTACTTGTGGAAGAAGATTCACTAAGATTCAGTAAAATTCACTGAGATTCACTAACTTTTCGTTGTAAAAGCTTCATCTTTACCAGTTCTGAGTAGACCTACTTTTCCCGTTGTACCTCTCAAATTTGGTACGACATGTAGCCAGAATTTAATCTTGGAGCAAAAGTGGAAGAGAAGTTAAGAGTCAATTTCTGGTAGATTCGGGCAGGTTAGCCACGACTTTAGTTAGTTTCGACTTACTTGGTGTAAACTGTTTCTCAACTGAATATAAGTAAAATGTTTGAATCTTTCTTAGAAGTATATTTTATTATATATATAATATATAGATTGTAAAATATTTATTTCTTTTGAAAAGGTTACAATACAAAAAGCACTTTAATTTGTTACTGTTCTTCTTATTGTTAAAAAAGCAGCTTAATAACGAAAAAATGAAAAACGGACAGTAACTATGTAGACCACAATATTTATTTTTTAAAAATATGAAAAATAAAACATTCCACAAAAAGATCTACGACGTTATCATAAATTAAAGTGCTTTTTGTATTGTAACCTTTTCAAAAGAAATAAATATTTTACAATCTATATATTATATATATAATAAAATATACTTCAAAGAAAGATTCAAACATTTTACAGAAAAAACTTTGTTTCACAGCCAAAGTTGTTTTTAGTACATTTTTTGTTTCAGGTTAAATATATAGTTATAAGTTATATAACATTCGATAGAGAATTACACGGGCTTCGAAACGAGCTATAAATAAGTCTTTCAAAAATATGCCCACCTGGGTCAATAGTCGAAATACTTGGCCAATAGAATGATTTTCATCTATCTTAGTGCTTTAAACAGTTCTTTAGTCATTTTTCTATCATAATAAAAACTACATATTTTTCAAAAACATACCATTTGAGAGCCCTTGAAATTCTCTACAAAGTGAGCTGGTCAGAATATCCAGACAGATGGAGCCAGTCATTACAGATATGAAAAAGAAGCGTTTGGGTGTTATCTATGCAACACAGTGTGCCATTATCACAAGAACTCTGCTTTTGACTTTTTAGTAAAAGCTGGAACCAATCTCAATAATGTTTTGAATAGCCCGAAGATTTTTCTATCAGATGAGGTGCATATCGCCGTTTCATGAAAAAGCTTGATAATACGGTTCAGGAAAACCTGAGCGCAGGAAAACCAAGACCTTAGTTTTTGCTCACAAAATTTTGTAAGCCATATAGTCTGATAGAGCATACAAGTCTGAATGTTTCGGGAATTTTCACGTCCGGACAGTTACTGTCCGTTTTTCATTTTTTCGTTATTAAGCTGTTTTTTTACTTAATGTAGCTGACTTAATGTAGTTGCGTTTTATCGAATGTAGGTATGCATTTAGAATAAATCGAAACGTCCCTTATCAAATATGCGAATTGTTACGAAAAAGTATGATATATTTTAAGGGAAGCCGTCAAAAATGGAATGTATATTCCACGCATAGATATAGATCAATATCGTTCTCTCTCCTTTCTTTTTCTCTTATTTTGCAGTAAGAGAAAGAAAGAGGACTTTAAGAAAGGACGGGAGTCGACAAGAGGCAAAATCGTTCCCCTCTCAGATCAAGTTCATATTCACAGGTCTTGTGTAGTTTTTCTTCGTGATTAAAACTAGCACCTCAAAAAACCCATTTTCAGTCCCCTTGGAAAACATTTCGCATCCAAACTTTTCTCCCCTTAGATGAAATTTATTTAGAGTATTTTCCTCATTTCTTCTCTTTGCTCCAAGCAAACCTCAACTACCATTCGATAGAGAATTTCACGGGCTGCACAATGATATATAAAATATTGAGAACAAATGGGGCATCGGTGTCCTAACACCAGAAGTCCCGATCTCCACAAATCCATGAGTTCAATGTAAACGATCTTTTCGTTAAAATGGAGCTCATAGATGAATAATTCTTTTTAGATAGTTTTTCAAATTAAACTATTCCAGTAAGTTGGCCACAAAATTACCTTAAGGACGATGGGAGTTACATAAACAGATGACACTATCGTTTGCAGTAATAGAAATTGAGAGAGATTCAGTTTGAGCGTTGATGCGATGAAAGAGATGAAAGAATGGGGCAAAGAGTAGGGGTATCACTTTACTGTGTCTTTACTAGTAACAAGAAATGTGTAAAAGTTACTTGTTACTAGAAACGGTAACTCTTTTCGTTATTTTCTTAGCAGTTATTAGTAACTATTTTTTTACTCTATTACTTGTTACCTCTAAGAGTAACAAAAAAAGTTACTTTTTACTAGTAACTGGTAACAAGAAAACAGTTATTTTGTTTACTTTCAGCAAAAGTAACAAAGTAACTTTGTTTTTCTTGTTTTGAAGTAATACATTATTAGTTTCAGGCTCTAAAATAAGATATAAACCGTCTTCATCATAATGAAAATAACTATTTTCCGTTAGAGACGTTTCGTCTTTATTCAAAAGACATCATCAATCAAATATGACAAACGATAGTTGATTCTGAAGATAGAAAATAAATGATAACTACCCTCTTAGAAAATATGACTGCTGTGGATGTATGCACAGCTATATAGGGCTAACAGCGAGAGGAGTCACAAGAAGACTAGAAGAACATCAGAAAGCTTTTTATGGAACAGGATTTTCTAAGATAGCAGTGCATTGTATGGAAACACGTTATCACACTAACTGGAATCCGCAGGGCCCTTCCGCGCAGGTCCGCCCACTATTAGCCGCGAAAATTTCACTTGCCATGTAGAGCATCAAAAATAACCTAAAGGTCTCGCTTACGCTTTTTTAAAAAAACATGTGAAAAGTGGCTTTCTAGACACCTCAAGTTTTTGGTGAGGGTGAAAATGAACGAAACATTGCATAATTATACATCAAATTGTAGCTCTTGAAGAGTTGATTCTGATGGTGAAGGGACTCGACCTCAATCTAACTTTGCATTCAAGTGGTACTCAATCTACTTGAAAAATTCCTAAAGTTTGACCCCGATTTTCTCCTAAACGCTCCTAAAATTTTGCGAGATTTTTCAGAACGGGAGCTACTTAGTAGGGTCGAAAACTTTGTCCATACAACTACCCTCGACACTTTTCATTTTTTCCCTCAGTTTTCCAGAAATCCTCCTAGAAAACTGCGATATGGAAACACAAAGAAGCCTCAACAACGTTGAAGTACAATGAATGTTTCATGCTGAACAAGAATACAAAATCATACCAGCTCTGTTTTCTTTTCCTGAAGCAAGGTTTTAGCGGGTTTTCTGGAAAACTAAGCATAAAAAATGGAAAGTGTCGAGGGTAGTTGTATGGACAAAGTTTTCGGCCCTACTAAGTAGCTCCCGTTCTGAAAAATCTCGCAAAATTTTAGGAGCGTTTAGGAGAAAATCGGGGTCAAACTTCAGGACTTTTTCAAGCAGATTGAGTACCACTTAAATGCAAAGTTAGATCGAGAGCGAATTTCTTCACCATCAGAATCAACTTGTCAAGAGCTACAATTTGATGTATAATTATGCAATGTTTCGTTCATTTTCACCCTCACCAAAAACTTGAGGTGTCTAGAAAGCTACTTTCCACATGTTTTTTTAAAAAAGCGTAAGCGAGACCTTTAGGTTATTTTTGATGCTCTACACGATGAGCTAAGTGGAATCTTCGCGGCAAGAAGCTCTGTATAAAGTGGGCGGACCTGTATGGAGCATCCCACAAATTCTTGCGATTGAATCCCATCTTATAAAAGGAACTATCAGTGAGACCTTATTGATAGACATTTATACAAAACAAAACAAAAGAACGATTTATTTACAAAAAGGTTTTGACCTCAAAATATGGATGGAAATATGGAAAAAGTTTCGACACATCATGTAGGATGAGAAAAAAAAGAGAAAGTTCGTTTTGTTCTATCTATGATATTTTGTTGTGTTCTACATACCTGCATTTTATTTTGTGTTTTATTCTCTATCTTCAGAATCAACTATCGTTTGTCACATTTGACTGATGCTGTCTTTTGAATAAAGATGAAACGTCTCTAACAGAAAGTTTTCATTATAATAAAGGCGGTGATCTATTTTGATATTCTTCACCTTAAACGATGATGCAATTGCCTGTTACTTACGAGTGTACATATTTAGATGTTCAAGCGTTTTAGAGCCCATCTTCTGGTCATAAGTAGACCTCCATGAGGTATGAAAAACCTTTAAAAGGATTCATTCTCTTGACTCTCGATGACCCGTTTTTCTGGAAAACCAGTTTTTGAGAAACTCTAAAAAGTAATTAAAACCTTTTCTTAATGAAGCATGATTGTAGCCCACACATTTCTGATTAAAATGAGATATCTACCAGCTCTATACGACCTTTCCTTGCAAAGTTATAGAATTTAGAAGAAAAGCCCTAGATTAATTTCTTCTTATTTCTGTAACTTTGAGCTGCCAATGAACATCTAGGGCTTTTCTTGTAAATTCTATAACTTTGCAAAGAAAGGTCATGTAGAGCTGTGAGATGTCTCATTTTAATCAGAAATGTGTGGGCTACAATCATGCCTCATTAAGAAAGGTTT